ATTTCTATACTGGCTCTCCAAGTGTGAGTAATAAGTTCATTTCTGTTTGCTTAAGCAATACATTGAGTAAATCCTAATTCATGACTCTGGCTCTTTACTCCTCTCCTGGTCACTGGACATTAATTAGGTATTCAACCTTCTAAAGTGATTGGTACCGTAACAGTAATCAGTGCATTGTACAATCTCTAATACAATCCATAAGGCAGTAATGCAATATTTAGTAACGCGTTACTGTAATTTGATTAATTTTTGTAGTAATTGAGTCATTTAATGTATTATAATTTCCAAAATAGTAATTAGCCTAGAGCAGTGGTTCCCAATCCTTGTCCTGGAGAACCCCCAAAATTGCACGGTTTTGGTGTCTCTCTTATCTGACACACACATTTGAGTTTCCTTTCGTGGAACTTCGAACTGCGTCCTCTAGGGGTCGCTATGGGGAACGCCTCGTCGTGACCCGTGTCTGAAGCCTACATTGAAAAAACACCAACTTGTTTGGCCGGCGACAGCCATGACGTCACTACCGTCGCAACTAGTACAAAATAGGCGCCGGTAGCGCACATCATCACTTTCTTCGTCTTCACTGACCGTTCTGTTTGAAGCGTGCATTCCAAAAGCAAAGTAAGAGCATTTTCTTTTCCTACTATGGCGAGCACTAGCGGAGCGTTTAGAAAGTGTGTACATCCGTGTCAGCGGTTTCTGACACCCGATGATTCATACGATCTATGCGTTGTTTGTTTGGGCGAGGAGCACGCACGCGATGTCTTCGAGGAGGCAATCTGCGTGCATTGTGAGAGCTTTTCGCTGAAAAAGCTCCGTTCTCGTTTGTCTCTCTTCTCGAGTGGAGAGGGACAACCATCGGTTTCCGGCGGTTCAGGACCCGCCGCTGCTGAGGCACAGAGGAGAATGAGCTTGTGGGGATCTCAAGTGGACCTAGCCGATGAGGCTGAAGGGGGGGTTTCCCTCTTCCGCGCATCGGTGTCGGGCGAGAGACAGCCACTGGACGATGATATCCTCTCTCTAATATCATCTGATCCAGGGGCCAGTGCTCAGTTGGGCCCAGCCCAACAAAGGCAGGAAATGGATGTGGAGAGTGAAGAAGCTGAGGCTGAGCTTTCCCAATCCACCTGCCCTGCGTATGATGAGCTGTTAGAGGTGATGGATCGGGCCACGGCAAGGCTCGAATTACCGTGGAAACGAGCCAAGGAGGTGACGTTGCGAGGTCGCTTCGACGAACGTTATCTCTCTGGCCATACACCTCCAGCTCAAGTGAGCCTTCCTTTCCTTCCTGATCTCCACACTGAGATCGAGAAGGAATGGGAGAGGCAGTTTTCCTCATGCGTATACCGGTTTCAGCATATGAGTTATGCGAACATCGAGTCAATGCGCGAAAGCGGCTATGGGATGATGCCCCCTGTGGAAGAGACGCTAGCCAGCTATCTCTCTCTGGGGGAGACGTCATCCCTCAAAACTCCCTCCTTGCCATCCGTGCCCCTTCAAGCCACATCTCGCATGAACGGCAAGGCATACGCAGCGGCAGGTCAGGCTGTGGCTTCGTTGCACACGATGGCGGTGCTTCAGGCATACCAGGCTGACCTGCTGAAGGACCTGGATGAGGGGCAGGGCCTTTCCTCTGGCGAAACGGCTGACCTGTGGGTGGGGGTGGGAAGGTATCGTGGGTCGAGGGGAGGCAGGCGAAACCCGAGGGGTGAGACCTGGGCAAGGCACCAGCGCTTTCGTCCGGGTCAGAGTAATACCTAGGTATTCACTCTCTCCCGCAGGGGGTACAACATCTACCCTGTTCTTCCCCTTTTTTCTAATTCCCTCTTTTATGACCACCATCTCCGTCTGACCGAGGTTAGCAAACAGTCTCCTACTGGGCCCATGATGTTTTGGTGGTTCTATGGCCAGATCATAGTAACCGCCTGACTGATGGTCCGGTCAAAAAATCCCCGGACAGAGCTCCGGCAACAAGCCTCGTGGTGGGTGAGTATGATCCATATATCATGAGAGCATGTATACTAATGAGAGACTGAGGTGGTCATGTATAAAAATAACCTAATAGAGAAAAGAAGTGTATAAAGGTACCTGCAGCGGAATGATCCGGTCATACGAGCCTTGGAGCAGAGCTCCAGCACAGAAGTTATGGGGGTGAGTACGATCCAAATATCATGATATCTGTATATTGAGGACGGACTGAGACGGCTGTGTGTGTGTAACCTTCTATAGTTCCATTGCAGTGTTTCCCGGGACCTGTACGTTTCTGTCCCTTGCTAGATGCCCTCGGTGAGGTGCCGTTGCTGGGCTCAGAAGCCAGGTGCTCTACTTGCAGTAGGCGTTTCACTCGTCGACATATGTCCAGGCGGTAAGAAAAAAAGCTGGGCTTCGGCTTCATACCTCCTGGATCATGCGGCCAAACACGGGCTTTTGCGGGAGCCTTCGTGAACATCAGGCCCCCGGGGCTACGCTGCGATGCACCCGGACTGGGCTACAGTGCCTGGTCGCCCCGAGGGTACTCCTTCTTGCTGAGGCAACGAACGGGAGGTACAGGATTCTCCTGTGTAAGGCTGTCTTAGGCAGGGCTCCCATCACCACTGAGATGTGCGAGCCGGCCGCTTCCAGGTCGGGTATCCATGAACATAAAATCCAGATAATATGGTAAATGTCCACGTAAAGCAAGGCTTTGCGCATTTCTCTAAATCCACGTGAGTGGTAAATGTGCATGTGAAGCTTTGCGCATTTTCTAAAATCCACATAGCTGGTAGATGGGCACGTGTTGCTTTGCCCAGTTTCTAAAATTCCACTTAAGTGGTAAATGGACACGGGATTCTTTGCCCATTTCTCTAAAATCCTGTGAAGGTAATGGTTACGCGTGCTTTCCTCGTTCCCTTTGTTTCAGAGTGGGATAACACCCCGGTACCCTGGGTCCCACTCAAATAGTGTGTCTTGGTCGACACACCCTGGAGACATCACTCCCCTCACCTCTGAGGAGGGTGCTGGAGCTGCTGTTCCCGACCGGCCATTACGTCCGGGTGACAATAGAACCCTAAGAAAATCCAGAGATTATGGAAAGAGTGGTCAT